AACAATAACAAGAAAGTTGAATGAAAGTGACAAAACGGAAGACGCAGAAAAGTGAGTCTCGATGAAATAGTGCATGCGCTAGCGGAGAGTGCATGCCGTCACTCTCTCCCTCCTCACAGCCTATTTTTCGGTCAGAGAGTCAACACAGGGGCCCAGGGCATTTGGGCACCAGCGGCTCCCAATTCTCTGTCATCTCTGGTGTCTCTAAGAAGCAAAAAATGGACAGCAGCGAGTAGGAAGAGAGGGGGGGGGGGGGGGAATAATTATGACACACATGAAAAAATTTTCCCCTTTTGCGCGTACAAGTAATGTTCTCACATACACAAGAGGGAGCAAGATAGTAAACAAGTGAGCAGCCGCCTCAAAAAATGGCTTGGAGTTGGGCAATTTGGAACTGATAAATGGGCAATTTGGAACTGATAATTTGCAATTTGGAACTGGAAAAGAAAAAGAGGAAAAGAAGAAGAAGAAGACAATTGGTCTGCCTTATCAGATTCTTTTCGGCAAGAAGACTACTAGCCAGAAGAATTTTCATTGAAGGGAAAAGAAGAACGTTGATAACAAAAGCAGAGATTGAAACACAGAATGTCTGGGTCACAGGCTGAAAAATCGCGGACTATAGATGAATGCAATGCAAATAGGTGTATGTCGGGGTGTTGGGCTGGATCAAATAAAATAAAAAAACGTGCGAAACGACATAAAAATTTGTTTTAGGTTGAACGATGAGGAGAACGAGAACGCAGATGAGATAAATTGGTGACAAGAAAATAAGAAAAAAGAAGAAGAATGACCGATCGGTTAACTCGAAACGGCATATACTGGTAACATATCTCGAGACAAAAGACACTGTTTCAATTATGGAGACCTATATGAGTGTCTAATGCATCTTGAAACGTCTTGCTATCCAATATTTACACTCCCCGCCTGTCGCGTTCTCTATTCACGTTTTGGAACTTTAAACTATTTCGGGCAAAAAACAAATTTCCTGCGCCTCGCCGTATTTTTGCGTATACTCACGTTGCATCATCACGATGGCAGCGAGGAGTGGAGATGGTTGAGCGCCGAAGAGAGAGAAAGAGGAGCGAAACATGGGTTGAGAGTGGGCGCCTTGTGTTGGCGCTACACACTAGAAGGTGCATGTGGCCGCGTGGCGCAATGGATAACGCGTCTGCCTACGGAGCAGAAGATTGTAGGTTCGAATCCTGCCGTGGTCGAAATCTTTTTTATTTTATTTTTTGAAGAACTGTTTCCAAACTTTCCGGATTTCAGTTAATTTTTTGAGAATTTCAGTTAATTTCTGGAAGATTTCAATCAATTTTTCAAGAATTTCAGTCAAATTTCAGAGGATTTCAGTTGAATTTGTTTGAATATTTCCGTCAAATCTTTCAGAATTTCAGTTGAATTTTTCAGGAATTCAGGTACAGTTTTGAGCATTTCAATCAATTTTCTAAATATTTCAGTCAATTTTTGGGAATTACAATCAATATTTTGAGTATTTAAGTCAAATTTTTCAGGATTCCAGACAATTTTTCAGGGATTTCAATCAATTTGTTGAGGATTTCAATTGAGTTTTTGAGGATATCAAGCTTTTGAAGATTTCAGTCAATTTTTTGAGGATAAGGATTTCGATCGAGTTTTTGAGGATTTCAGTTAAATTTCTCAGGATATCAAGCTTTAAAAGATTCAGTATTTCGAATTATTTCAGTTCAAATTGATGAATATACTTTTGGAGATCTTTGACTGAAAAGGCCGTTGAAGTTTATTTATTTTTTTTGAAAAAAATTGCGGAAATTCTAGATTACTGTAGGTCGCACAGTTCGAACCAAATACAAAATGTGCAGTTTGTCAAAAAATGCAATTAAAATTTTGGTTTACATTTAGGTACGCCGATGCACTAGAAGAAAACTGAGAGAAATTTGAAGTATGCAGACGGGGGCGCCGGGAGGTTGGAGGAGAGAAAATGCGATGGCTTTATCATCACCTCTCATGCAAGTGAGTGCATGTGGCCGCGTGGCGCAATGGATAACGCGTCTGCCTACGGAGCAGAAGATTGTAGGTTCGAATCCTGCCGTGGTCGAAATTTTTGGAATTTTTTTTCAGAATTTCCAGATTATTTGAAATCAAAAATACCATATCGTTCGACTTTTTTTCATTTTTTTAATTAAAAAATTGTAAAAATAAGAGTATAATGTAGTAAAACGGGATTATTGGATTACATGTTTTTGAGCATGGATACCAATTTTTTATCTCTTGTAGAGCTGCAAATTGAAAGAAAGTCAATACCGAGTTTCCTGAAAGTTTCAATTTTCTGGAAAATGGAAAAAGTGGTTGTGTTTAAGATAATGGATCTTTTACCCCAGCTTTTCCGGGATTTGTTGTTTCTTGGTCTACAGTAAACTCTTTGAATGTTTCAAATTTCGAACTTCCGTTTTCTTTTTTCTTTTCTTCTTTCTTCTGTCTTCTCTCTGTCAATCAGAATTTTACAGCAGTTGCGCCATTCTATGCATTTTTTCTTCTCAATTCACTCGAGGCATCTTCACTAGCTTGTCTAGCATGTCGGATCTAGTAGGAGACGTGTGGCCGCGTGGCGCAATGGATAACGCGTCTGCCTACGGAGCAGAAGATTGTAGGTTCGAATCCTGCCGTGGTCGAAACTTTTTGAATTATTTTTTGGATTTTTTTCATCAGAGAATTTCAAATACATATATTTTTGAAGAAAATTAATGTAATGTTCAAAATTATGTTTTGTGAATTTCATATAAATGTTTAAAAAATGTAAAATTTAAGATAACTGTAGCTGGAATCATTCGAAACTGATCCAAAATTGGAATTCTGTCATTAAATGGAAATGGAACTTTTGGTTCAAATCCTGCCATGGTCGAAATTTTTTTGATTTGAAATTCAATATTTTCTTGTTTCTGGGATTGCCTCATTAGCCAACCCTTATGTTATGGGCCCTCTGTGGTTGGTAGAAAAAAGAGGCGGAAACCCCCAAGACTTGTTATCTGCTGCCAAAATGTTACACATCTCAGGCTCCTTCCAACTGCTGTCATTTTTCACACCCTTTGAAGTTTAATTGGCCATATGTCACACTTCAGAGAACGCTATGGTCAGCGTTTTAAAGCCGAAGCTCATCGGTTCAAAATTTGAATATCAAATCCTCGATTGGCATGAGTAAAATTTGGTATATTTCCTTGTTCAAATGCTGTATAGTGTGTTTTCACGGAAACCTGTGTATACTACTCTCATTCATATCAATTCTCGCTACGGAGAGAGAAGAATAACAACAAACACAGGTCAATTTTCAAGTGAAAACGTTTGTGAAACGGAAATGTATATTATCCCTGGCCATCCCGCGATTTTCCATCATTCTGCATTGGTACACAAATTGAGATTGAGTGGAGATTGAATACAAACGGAACTGTTCTTTTTTGAACGAGAAAAAGTCTTTTCAGGAAAGATATAGAAGTTTCGTGAGATGTTATTCAGATGTGCTTGTTTTTGCTCCTCGGGACCTGTTTATTAGCTGAAATAATGTAACATCTCGTCCCACACATTGCTGCTCTCCGCCTGTTTTTGGCCTGATGTTCCTTTTGACACATCTGAAATACATTGTCTGTGAAGATGTGCTGCTTTTTCCCCGGGTTCCTATTTTGTATTTTTTTGTATGAAAGGAAAACGTTTGTCAACTTTAACCGTTGTTATAGGTAAGGTTCTGGAATTTCGATTTTCAGCATAAAGTTTAAAATTTTGCTGGGAATTCGAGTGAGAGGAATTTTGCAAGGAAATTTAACTTAGCTTGATTTTCAAACTCACCGTATTTGCTCGAATAGAAATTAACGCTACTGTTGCACTTTGGGCTCAATTATCTCAGTTTCTATGAGAAATATCAAAAAGTTGTCAATTAATAAATTATTTATCCATCTATCAGCAATATTTTATTAGTTGACAGATTTTTGATATTTCTCATAGGAACAGAGATATTTGAGCTCAAAGTTCACGTATGGTTTTTAAAATGTGAACAAATACGGTTAATGCGGTTTTCTATGAGTGTAAAAGATTCTTGGGTTTCTGTAGATTACTGTAGGCTTAGCTCTCAGCCTTATCGTCTAGATATCTAAAACTGGAAATCTCGAATTACCGTAATCCCATTAATTTCCTCTGAACTTGACTAACGCAAGTTCTGGGGTTTTTTTTAATGATTTCAAATTTACAATTTCTGAAAAATGTCAAAAGCAAATTCCCTAAGATTTTCATAACACCTAAGATACCCGAATTTTATAGAGAAAAAACTATCCATGTTTTTTTTTCCATTCTCATTTCCCAAATCTCTCAAAGTCTAACAGTAAGATGTCGGTTCCCATTCCAAAACTCTCATCTAATCAACTCAATTTGGTTTCAAGACATTGGGGTCCCAGTGTCCTCCTCCTCTCTATTCTTTTCATTCCTCCTTTTTCGCATTTCCTCTTCCTCTGTCCTCCTTCTCTTGTTTCCCGTTGGCATTGGTAGTGGCAAGAGAAGAAAGAAAGATAGAAAACAGGGTGGAAGAGGAAAAGAGACGGCCGGAATGGCTTTATCGTGAATTGGAGGGGGGACACAAAAAGAAAGAGAAAGAGCGTTTGCTGTGTTGCGCGGGGCGTCGGGGCCGCAGCTGGGCCCCGCATTTATCGATCGCGTGCCCCCTATCGCGTGTCTCCTCGTCCTCTCTTTGCTGCCTTCCTCGCTTTCCGAATGGCGTCGGAAAAGTGTGGCGATGTCTGCGTCTCCTCGTTCTCGTGTCCCCCGCTCCTCTCTCCTCTCTCGCCTCATGCAGTAGTGCTGGGGTAGGCGGACAGCTCTACTTTAGACCTCTCTCCGCTATTCTATACCACCACTATTCGCAAGCACTGCGCGTCGTCTCCTCCTTGCCATGGGTTCGTTTTTTTTCCGTTCAGGGTCCACCTTGATAAACAATCTAAACAATTAGGTTCGAGTTATATTAGGCTCGTCTTGATTAGATTATGACTAAAAGTAAGGTAATTGATAACGAAACCCTTGCAAAACATATTACCACCATCTTTGCTTTCTGTTGATCTACCAGTGATTCTAAATTCTGAAAAACCCAATCCAGAAACTCCCATAATCCTTTTTTCATGAATAAAACCCAATATTCCTAGAAAAAACCCTAACTTTAGCTTTTATAACTTGTAACAGAAAAGAGACAATGCAACAAACTGCAACATACACACAAAAGCGAGAAGAGGGCGCCCCTCTTTGTTGTCTGCTTTCGAATTCTAGTCGACAATTTTGGCAACTTTTCATCTTTTTTGTCCTTTTTCCTCTTTCCGCAATAAATAAATCAAGATTGACAGTTTTTCTTTGATTGATTTGCCATTTAGTTGAAGATTTAGAGAAGACAGAAGAAACAAACAAAAAAAAGAAAGATTATTTCCCCTTCTTATCAAACTTTATTTTCAGGCAAAAAATGCGATATATGTCGCAAAAAGTGCTCAGGAGACGCCTACAAAGCGAATGACAAGTTCTATCACACCAGCTGCTTTAAGTGCAAAAGTGAGTTATTTCCAATGAAGTGCTAGTGTTGTATTTGTGTTTCAAAATGTTTGCCTGATTCTTTGAGGGGGAGGCAGCACCAAAATTTGTTCCAGTGTGTTTATTACATAATACAAACGAGACTCTCTCCCTCTCTCCGTGTTATCTCAATTCGTTTTTGTTTGAACAGTGTGAGCATATATCATCTATTGCTAATACCTTCTCAAAATTCCTGGCATTGGTGTTCCAAATTAAAAAGAATTTTCAAAAATTGTCAATTCAATTACACACATATTGTTCTTGTCCACAAGATCCCCGGGAGACACACTGGCCTTCATTTAATGACCTCGTTTACAGAATAGTGTTTCCTCCCGAGAAAACGGAGGGGGGGGGGGGAAGAACGTTTCGTAATCTAGGAAGAGGAAAGCAAGAAGTTTTGGTCCTCTCATTCATCTTAGACATTTTAGGATTATAGTGTTATATGAGCACAACGCACACACGGAATTCTACGTCATCGCTTGACTGAGCTTATGCTCAATCCAGCGATGCTCAATCAAGTGAGAGGGACCTTTTAGACATTTTTGCCCTTTTTTTGTTGTTTCAAGCAACTCCGACCTTTTGCAAAACGGCATTTTATCGCACTGTTTACCCCGAATTTCGATTTGTCTCTCCCTCTTTCTTTGTAAATATTTACCGCAGTCACAGCACACTTGAACTTGATGAGGTGTAACAAAAAATCTTATTTCATTTCAAAAATAAATTTCGTGGGATGGAGAAGAAACGAACAAACTTCAAATTTAAAAATTATACAAAAACATAGTTTTTCAGTTTTTTAAATTATTTTGACCATTATCAGGACCCTGGAGCTCGGCTGCCGAAGTTCCGATGACGTCGAAAATTTTGGAGCGAGTAAAACAGACCTAGGTTGAAAATGTTGCGTTCATAGAACTTTTTGGAAAGTCCTAGTTTTTCAGGTATTTGTCGATTTCTGAGAGACACCTTTTCAAGTACTGAAAACATGAAAAAACATGTGTTTTTTAGAAATCAGCGAATAGGTTTATTTCGCATACTCCAATGTTTTGAAAGTGATTGAAAACTTGACAATCGAGCTTCAGACTCTCAAAAATGGCTAAAATTGCCAACAATCGGCGCATAACTCGGAAGGTACAGCGATCCGGGGATTCAAAGAGGTTCAAAGTGATTTAGGGGTGCAAAATTTACATTTCGGGGGTACAAAACTTGTAGTTTTTCAGGTATGTTATACCGAGATTGAGGATTTTGTATTCCTAAAATAGTTTGTACCCCAATGACCCTAAAATTGTTGTACCCTGTTATATTTGCCCAAAAAATCAAATAAAAAAGTATTTGTTTTTTTTTTAATTTTGAGTTTAAAAATTCAATCAATTTTTTTTAGAATGTGGTCGGGATCTAGCCGAATCGGGCTACTACACAACAACAGAACACGCGTTGCTGTGTCCCGAAGACTTTTTGGACGCTTCCAAGGAGCTTAAAGTCAAAACTTCTTCACAACAGCACGTCTCGTCCTCGAGTGCGACACCCAAGTCTCCGGAGAGATCAAATGGTACAACGGACGTGTCGTCGGCGACTGGAGCTGCGAATGCCACACTGCAGCAAATCTCGCCGCTTGGATCTCCAACAAGTAAGAGCTATTCTCGGGGCGTTTTGATGGGTATGAAGGGGGGCAAGGGCGCACACACATCCCGCAGCAACCACAAAATGAAATTTGAGATGTTCTCATGTATCAAACAACGCATCGTCATGATAATAATAATATATTCATCTCTTTCTCTCTTGCAGCATGTGCCGCTTGCGATCAGGCTCTTCACACGGGTCAAGTACTTCTCGCGCTCGGTTTGTCGTGGCACGTGTACTGTTTCAAATGCAGCGAATGCTCGGCAGTTCTTCATGGCGAGTACATGTCACACGAGGGAAAACCGTTGTGTCTCAGAGACTACAATGAGAAATTTGGTGTCAAGTGTTACGAGTGTCAGAAGTTTATTGCGGGAAAGGTGTTGCAGGTACGAGTTGAATAATCTTGAAAAGTGGATGGAGTCCTGGGAAAATGAAGATATGAGGATTTTTAGCAAACTAGGAAGATACTGAAAATCGATTCATTGTAAAAATTCAAAAAAAAATTTGACAACTGATAAATTATTTATCATAATATTGATCATTTTTCAGTAATTGACAAATTTTTATATCTTCCACAAAAATTGAGATAATCAAGTTTAACGTTAACCATTTAGGTGGGCTCAAATATGTTCAAAATGGCCTTTTCAGATTTTTTCGAAATGTCAAAAATACCGTATTGCAAAATTTTAAAATTGCGGAATTTCGAAACTTCGAAATCTCGGGATATTCCGATAAGGAAAAGTTCGGAATTTTGGATTTTCTGAATATTCCGATTCTAAAATTCTCAGAATTTTGTGAAATTTAAATTTTAAAGTGTTTGAAATGACATAAATTGGTTTGAGTTTCATAAAAAATAGAAATCAAAAGTTTTGGGCGCCTTGAGCATTTTCACTTATTCAGTGACCAGGACTGAAGTATATTAAAAGACAATTTATAGTTCTGGATTTTATTGAGTTCAGGTATTTTCTTGAAATTGAAATATTACGTTTCTAGAATTTTAAACATCGTAAATTCAATTCTCAGTTTAACAATTTTAATTCAGGCGTTTTTAGCTTTTTACTACCCTCAGGGGGCTTATTCTAGTCTTCGTAGTCTTTTTACAAGCAACTTTTGCAAGAAATCGATTTCCTAATCCTCCACTAATCTTTTGAAACCAGACATTTGTTATTCTTCATTTTACGATACAAAAAAACTAATCCTTGATATGACCTTCCCAGTCGTATTCATTCCATCCCATTCCATTCACTCAATCTCAATCCTCCTTCTCTATTTCAATTCATTCATTACAGGCTGGTGGCTACAAATTCCATCCTACTTGCGCGCGTTGTTCACGATGCGGTCGAAACTTTGGTGACGGTGAAGAGATGTATATGCAAGGCGACGAGATCTGGCATCCGTCTTGTGAGCACTCGCGGACCACTGAAAATATTGCGGTATGCAATTTCATTTTGTTTTTACTAACGGACGGCAAGGAATAGTATCCGATTTCATTTGCAACTTTCCGACGTCTTGAGAAAAGAAAGGGGAAAAAATTATAATAATAGAAGAACACAAGTCAATATTGACATGCAACCAACTTACAACATTTTCAGACAACTGGCCGTGCTGCAACTCTTACAAGAAATGAGCCAAAATACCAGTCTGCCTTTGGACAGCATCAGGCTTACATGTACTTGTTGCCAGAAGTGGAACAAACCTACCTGAGACATCCAGTCATGAATGCCAAGGAGCCAAATGCACCACAGTTCCATGTACCGCAGGGACCAATCAAGATTCGCAAGTCGAGACTGTCAATGCTCAAAACTGGAATGCAACGACTCAGTGAGTTTTGTTTTATGGGGCGATTTAGAGAAATTGAATACTTTCAGCCGAGGACTTGGAGAAGAACATCCCAAGACCAAAGTCGCCACATATGGACAATGAGGAGCCAATTGAGTTGGCTCACTATCCAGCAGCGCAAGTGCCTGACCCAGATAAGGTGAGCAAATGCTCCAAGCAGTGGAGTCTGCCGATCCTCTACCGAAAAATCTGAAAACTAGTCCGAATAGGAGAAGTTGGAGCTATTCAAATTATTTAAATCGGAATTAGGAATAGTGTTATAAGTCCGGAAGGAAAACTTGAAAAATCCAAGAGAGCTGAGGAGTAGCTGGAGCAAAGCCAGGATGTCTAAAACTCTTTCGAAAATTAATTGCAAGGGCTTTTGAGTCTCCTAACAATCTATTATCCCCGAATGGGGTATTTTTATGGAGCTTAGAAAAGGTAACCCATTTCCTACAGTCCGCATATGTGTTTTTGGAAAAATGTGATTTGTATTTTGAGCTTCTTATTGTCATTTATATCCAGTTTTAATGCCAAAATTTGGGCGTTTTGGATTTTTAGAGTATTCCGTTTGGAAAATTACGGAATTCCACTTTCCCTATCACAAAATCGCAAAAAATGATCAAAAAAGTTAATTTTGCACAAGACCCGCAGTTTTTCGGTCGGGCCTCTGATACCGTAGTCCAAAAAGATCTTGTTCCGAAAGAAAATTTAGAAATACTCCAACCGGAACTTAATTCCAACATAAACCTTCAGAAATATTCAGGTCGGAACTTTCAGAATTCGGAACTCCGTCCCAAACTTCAGTCGTTTTTCGGTTCTAAAAGATTTCTTTTTTCAGCTCCCAGCCATCGAGCGAGAGGACTTCCCTGCTCCACCATACCCGTACGCAGTCGAAGAGCTCAAGCGAAGACTTTCCACATCTTCCATCGAGAACGAGATCTCCGACGACGAGTATTCAGAGAGTGACAAGGTTGACGAGGACAAACTGCGGAAGACTGTCGAAACTCTGGAGAAGTACAATGACTCTTCAATCGCTCACGTCATCAGGCAAAACATTGAAGACAGTCACAAAAAGCAGAGGTTCGTTTTGGCTTATTAGATAATTATTATATTCATTGGCTCTTGTTTGCAGACTGCCACTTCATTGGGATCCGAGAAACGCAAGCCGAACCCCATCTGGCAAGAAAATGCCACATCTCAAATTCCGTTACGATGTGCCAATTAATGCATGTACGTTTCTGGGAATCCTTCTTTTTATGGGGTCCTCTTGCTTTCTAATTGAGTCAGTAGAGAAGGCTGGTCCGGAAAACAAAGTACACACTTGTCGTGTCGTCTTCAAGTGCAAAAACTTATTCTCTTCCCTCTATTTCGGTCTTTTTTTCAGCGCCATCTCGTCATCTCAATCGTCCACGACCATGGGTCATTTGGCAAGGCGGCGAAAAGGACCACGGCAACAACACGCTTCCGTGCTTCCACATTCCGGAAGATCAGAGCAGAGCCAACACGCTGCGAGCGGCCACACTTCCGATTGAGTTCGCCAACATGTCGCTGGACAACTTGGACACCACAATCAGCAGTCACTATTCGGATCGTACGTGAAAGGGAGAGGGGGAATGATAGTGAAAAAAAGAACTTTTGAAAAAAGGGAGGATTTGACACCGAAATGTTAATAACGTGAAAGCTCCGATTAATTGTACTCTGAAAATAATATGAGAAGAAAGATATTTTTGAAAAAGGATTCAACAAATCAAAAGCATTTTGATCAGATTCACAAACTGAGAACTATATAACGTTTTGTGAAAAAAATTGACGCTCACATTTTGATACCGTTGTGTTTACCTGTATTGGTGCACTTTAAAAACCTTATTTTGTGAGCTGAATTACAAAAAATCCATTTTCGCGGCTTACCAAAATTTCAAAATACTCAAATTAATCAAACACACGTAATTTTCAGTATGGAGAGGAATGAAAAAAAAATATACCGGATTTTTTGGGGTGAATAACATGAAACGTGCAATGAATAGGATATTTATGGCCTTGTTTAGGTTTTCGGTGTTATATTTTGGTGACAATGACAAAAATAAGTGGTTTGTAATAGCTAAATCAAAGAGACCTATTAGAAATCAAGAATAGATTTTATTTTTGAGTGTATCTCAGAACTGAGCCAAAAAAACATCCTAAAAACCGAAATAATTCCATACAAATTTCCATTTTTTTAAAATATATGTCTCAAACGCCAGTCTCATAAAGATCATCATTTGTGGCTTACTTTTATGACCACGTAGCTTTGTCGGTAGCTACTCCACATTCATAAAGTTTTGCCCTTGAGTTTGATTTCTCGAAATTTTCTCATATGTAAAAATTGACAAATCATTCAAAGGGTAAAAAAATTTTAGAGTGGCTGGGGTCTAAATCTTAAAAGTTGAAGAATAAAATCAGCTTGGTCCCACCACTGAATAGGGAATAATACTTGAATAATGTATGAAACATATCAACATAATCAATTTTCCAGATTCCATCACCGAATCCGGAACCGCTGGAGGTCCTCGATCTGCTGGTGGAGCTGCTCTTCGCTCTTCACTCCCCGACATGAGCAAGCCGGCCAAGCAATACGACCTACTCATTCTCCAAACAACCAACTCCAACCTTCCGGAAGACGTTGACAGGTGAGAAATTACCTTTCGATTGAATATGCATCTGACGTTTAGCTTGACATGACTCCCTTTTTTTGCAGACAACATTTGGAACGACATCTGCCACGCGATCATTCGAGGATATCTTCAAGATGTCCTTAATTGAATTCTACAAGTTGCCCGAGTGGAAGAGGATCAATTTGAAGCGAAAGCACAAACTTTTCTAACTCTTGTTTCATTTTGAAACCTCTCTAGGTTGAAATTTGTTTTCTTCTTCATCACTCAACTTCTCCTATACTCTCTTTTTCTCTCCTTCTACTGCCCCATCTCTTTAAAAATCTCTTCTTCTTTCTCATCCGTACACCAAAGTTGCTCCTGTTCTGCGCATAATTTCGGGGGCACTCCGCAGTGCATTCTTCTTCTTTTTCTCAGAAGACATCCTAAAAATTTGCATTCACATCGTCCCACTTTATGTACTGATTCTGAATGAACTCAGACAACGGCACATTTTCACTAGTCTGTCATACTTTTTTGTAAAAAAAGAATATTGTTCCCCAATTTGCCCCAAACAAAAAAAATCTTCTCAAAATATCTTTCGGGATATAGCTTGTCAGCTTTTATTGCCGCTTTTAAAGTAGTCATGATTGGTCTTTTTTTTTCTTTATCAAGTTCATTTTTTCTTCATTCTTCTACGCGGAATCTCGGTTTTTCTCTCTCTCTCTCTCTTACAGTTTTTCGTTTCTCAGAAAAAAGGTTGGCATTTTGCATGCATGCTCCTTTTTCTAAAATATTATGGTGTTTCAACGTTAGATTTTACTCCCATCCCCACGTCTCTCTCGCTAAGAAGCTTTTATCACTTGCTTAGGTAATTTCTTTAGCTTGTTTTTTATAATTTCTTATTTTCAAGTAATGTAATGCTCCCACTGTCTAAATCGTTTCAATCAAAAGTTTCACCGCCAGCCAGTAAATCAAAACTCCACCCATTTTCTAAAAGTCAGTAGTTAACTGAATCGGTTCTTTCTTTTCTAAACCCCTAATTTCACATGTTGCCTCTTTTAGGCAAAACGCTTGGTTTTAATTCTTTTCTTTGCCTAAAAATACCAATTATCTATCCCATACCCAGTTCCAACCCCATTTTCCAACCCATCTTCCACATTCAAAATGTTATTGGCGCCTATTTTTTCTTCCTTTCTGAAATTCTTGCAAAAGACTAAAATGAATAGAATTGGTCATTCTCCTGGAATCGTTTCGTCTTCTCCTTTTTCTTATTTTTATGATTTTTTAAATTGTTTTCTTTCCATTTTTCCTTCCCATCCCATTCTTCTCCTACTTTTTCTGGAAACTTGTCGTGCTGCGAACTGGGAAAATCACTTTTTTCTTTTTGTTTTGTTCTTTTAAATAAACTGCAAATGCTTCGCAAAAAAAACTTGAGCCCCTAAAGTGTTTTTGTATTCAAGACTACCAACAAAAGTGAGCAAAACTCAAGAAAGAGTGGAGAAAACATCTGGTAGATAAAATAAACAAAATGTGAATGAGATGAAATGGGGAGAGAGAATGCTCAATTCTCCGCCAATCACTCTTCAATATCACTTATCTCTTTGATTTGCAAGAAGATCAAATGTTTCTTCATTTATCCTTCCGTTTTTCTTTTACACATGTTTTGGCATCAAAGAAAACACAAAAACTGAATTATTCCTGGAAAAAACCACAAATTTCAAAAACTGCTATTGTTTACAGAAGTAAGAAGAAATACTTTTGCTTTTCTGAAAAAATATTTTTTTGAATGTTTCTTATCGGCGAATTTTTCGTCTTGGAATTGGTTTGATCTACAAAGCAAGGATATGACATTGCTTCAGTCTCGTTCGGGCTTTTAAGTTTGTGGTTTCGAACAAGGAATTGTTAAAAAGGCTAGTGATCACATTTTTACCAAGAAATCTGGATTTCGTTCAGAAAATATCTAGAAATTATCAGAATCCATATTCGCTTTATTTTGTTTTCGGGCAGGTCTTTCTAAAACAAAAGAAAATTTTCAGATGCCAGACTTTTGCTAATTCGACATAATTTGGAAAAATCTCGATATTTGAATTTCTAAAGGTCTTTTAAAATGTGAAAAATTTAAAAAAATCTTACCAGTTTATAAGTTTTTGATATCTCTTCCGAAAAAAATGTGTTAACATTGAATTAAGAAATAATTTTCACGAGATGATCGGAATTCGAACATCTTCAAAAAAAATGTGAGTTCAATATTGGCAAAAAAAATTTCTGTACCGTAAAACATGTAATAGAAGGGCTTCCAAACTATCAACGTTGACATCAATTATCTTGATACCTGTGAAAGATATAGGAAAAATTGTTTATCATAATATCAGAACTGTCCGTTTGTCCGTTGGCATGTTTTCGATATCTTGCATAGGAATTGAGAAAATTGAGATTGAACTTGGGGGCTTTTCTATTACAGGTTTTACGGTATTTTAATTTTTAACTTCAATTTCATTCATCCACTGAAGGGTATGATATCTCTTATACGCGAAGAACGTATTTTCAACGTAACTAAGTTACTCCTCAGTTTTTTCCGATTTTTAACATTCCCTGTATTCAGAAAGTCCCCATACTGTTAAGTTTAAGCTTAATTATCTCAATTCCTATGCGAGATATCAAAAATGTGTCAACTAAGAAACATTTATGATATTATCATAAACAATTTACCGATTCACAACTTTTTTATTTCTTTGACAGAAACCGAGATAAATTGACTAAAATGTAAAAGTTAAGTGAGGACCCTTCCATTAGAGGTTCGGGATTAGTATTTTTGTTAGTTTTTTTTTCCGATTCTGGAAGATCTTGAGTTTTAGTTCATCTCTTTTTTAATTCCAATAAACTCTGAACATTAGCTTTCAGAACATTTCTATCTTCTCTTTTCGTAGTCGACCAGTTTTCAAACCATATCGAGACCACAAAAAATTACTTTTTTTTCTGAATTCTTCTCTTCCTCTGCGGCAGTTCCGTTTTTCCAATCACTCCCGATTCACAAAAATATGTCCCATCCAAACCAAAAAAGTCAACGAGCAAGTCGAACAAATTCCTTCCATTCAAATCTCAAACGACTCTCCATAGTTTTCAATGCTCCGTTTACCCTCTCTCTCTCTCTCTTCCCATCAGATAGGACATGAGATATGAGAAGCGACGGCGACGGGGCTTTCCAAAACCAGAAACTGAATTGAAAACCACTCGTAGTTGGGTCCGGGGGTCTCCACCAATAATGAGCTGCCGACGACTGCTCCAACTCTTGTCGGTCCATTCCGCACTCTTCGTTTTTCATCCGAAGGGGTGGAAGCAGGAGAAGACGTAGAAGAAGAAGAAGACGACACACGGGGCGGCGCCCTCTTTTTGGCCCCCGAATCTCAGCGATATGTGTATGTGAATTGTGTATGCTCGTCAAGTTTTGGGACCGCTTTTTGGCGCTCGTGCCCCTGTCCCCCCGTTTATTTTGTCGCCTTCTTTTTCTTCAAATCGAATTCTTTTTCTTGATTTCTTATAGATGAAGTTTTATTTCAGGCAGTGCGGCACCATCGTAAGATCTGGCCAAAAGCTGTAAAAATGACCGTACCCGATGACGAAAAAGAATTTGTGGACCAAATTTTGGTGGAGCACAATACACGAAGAGAGAGGGTGAGCCTTTTTTAATTTTACTCTGTGCGTGAATCATTAAATCTCAGCACAACGCTCCCGACTTGGAATATAGCGAAGAGTTATCCGAAATGGCTCAACAATGGGCTGAAAAATTGGCCAAACAGGTATTTGTTATAATTTCTAAAATTCCTTCAAGTCTTCTCATCTTCCAGGCGCATATCTCATTCAGTGAACTGAGTGGTGTCGGTGAGAATATCACGTTTTTCCCTCCGGATATTGATGCAGAATCAGGTATATTTTGAACACTTCTCCTTTCTTCTTATTTGTATTTGCAATTTGAAATCAGTACATTGTGAAAAAAAAAGTTAGAGAGATGGGAAATCTATCAAACTGAAGGCACGACGCAAGCCAACAGAATTGAATTTGTGGACTTTCGAAAGCAACGAACCAAAACACTCTTGCGTCTACCTCTAGTCTGTGCTCAATTTCCAAAGTGATTCTGGCTTCTGATCAGTTCCTAAACTTTCAGATAGAATTCAGCTACTGTTCATATATTTTACTCTTCTCCTTCTATTTATATCGTTTATTTTAATTCTCTTCCCATTTTTTCTCCACATCATCTTTTTTAGTCGTCGAGCATTGGTATCAAGAGCACGAAAAGTACGAGTACGAGACGCCGGGGTGGCAGACTGGAACCAATTACTTTACACAAGTTATATGGCGATCCACAAAAGAGGTAATGCGATCCCTTCTCTAGAAAAACATAAAAACTTGAGAGAGAAACCGGAAATTAGAGAGATCCGTCGCCCTATTTTTAAATTTTAGATTGGTGTCGGGTGTGCATATGTGAAGAAGTCGCACGAAAACGATGAAGATAATACTTCTTGCTCAAATGGAAGTGTTTGTAAATCGATGACATCGTTGAGGTGAGAGAATTGTTCAGGATAATACAGTAATTAAAAATTTTTGTCTTGAAATTTGAATATTTTCTTCAATAGAAGATCACCCATATTGTCAACTTTAAACTCAATTATCTCGTTTTTCGTAAGAGATATCAAAAATCTGTCAATTGGCAAATTACTTATCATGATACTACCTAAATTTCATTAGTGAGTAAATTATGGATATCTTTCACAGGAATCAAGATAATGGAGCTCAAAGCTAGTTTACATGAGCTTACTTCAGAGGAAATAGGGCGGCTTTGTTTTGAAAACCCTTTGGTTAGCCTCCAGATCTGAATGAAATGAATTATGAAAAACTCAGGAAACTTAAACAGTATACAATCTAAAGTTAATTCTTCAGTTTTTTGGCATGTTATCATTCTGATCATATCGCAAATGCTCTAAAGTGCACAACGCCGCAACATAGTTTTATGTTGAGCCAAATTATCTCAATTATTAATAGGAATATCGGATTTATTATTAAAATTATCACTTACATGATTTTTGAAATTTTTAAAAATATTTGAAATAAATGAGCTCATAAGGCAATCTGAGGGTGGCGTTCGGTTAGAGCATTAGAGCGTTCGGTTAGAGCTTATAGGTAAAACTACCGTGTATTTGAGTCAATTTGTCTCGGTTCTTGTAAAATTTATCCAAAATTAGTCGACTAGCTAAATATTATTGATATCATAATTAAAATTTTGTTAGGTGACCAATTGTTGATACCTCTTATAGGAAATAAGATAAATGGGCTCAAAGTTGATGGTCTGGGGGACGTTCTATTAGAGTGTTTACCGTATTTTAATAAAACGTAAACTATTGTTTCTGTTTGAATTGGATGCATGTTCATTACTATGTTATTGTTATGTTTTTTGAAAGCATAAGAGCACACTACCTATCGACATTGAAAACAAGGTCAAAATTGTGAATAAAAGAGAAACTAGAAAAATATTATTTAAAATGAGCTGAAAAAAACGATAGCTCATTTTCGTGGTTTGAAAAATGTTCAACGAATTTAACTGAAAAAAATTATTGGTGATATTATTGTAAATAATTTTTCCGTTGACAAATTTTTGATATCTTTCACAGAAGTGGAGATAATAGAGCTTAAAATTGACAGTTTGAGAGGCTTCTAATAGAGGAAATTCGGTATTTTGTCTATTTGAGTGTTTAAAACTCTTTGAATCTCTCATTTCTTTGCTCTAAATAGTATATATTCAATTTTGTTTAAAAACATATCTAATCTTAAAGTTCATTCAATTTCAGTAGCAATGGAAAACTAGCTGCAGAAGGTGACAAGGTGATTGTTGCATTTTATCGTCCCGCTGGCAACAACAATCGATCCGGGCAGTTTGCCGCAAATGTCTGGAAACCAATTCACTAATTTTTCACCAATTTTCCATTTCCTACAAACCATTTGACACATTCATTTGATTGTTTCCGTAAAAAGAATACGACATGTTCTTAATTGTAAACACAAACACTCGATTTCCAAAGAAAAAAAATACTATAAATAAAAGCATTATTTTTGATTACTGTAATAAATAATAATACAATAATAAATAGCTTGGTTCTACAGTTATGCCTGAGAGCACCGAAACGGTTACAAAGCAAACACAATATCACCTTGCGCAAGAGAGAAAAAGAGCCGAAAAAAGAACAAAGAAATAGAGAGAGCTGATTTTTAGCAAGAAAATACATTATAACAATTGTTGTGAAAAATAACCCTTCAATAAAAAGAAATCATAACATTTGGTGAGAAAAAAAAACAGAAACAAAATGATAATTACTGGAGTTGTGTGGGCGGTCCCATTTTAGGCTGACATCTCGAATTGGCGGTTGGATTGGATGACTGAAAAAATTAATTTTGAGAATGAGCAGCACTTTTTGATAGTTTTATGATTGTTTGAATGCTAAGAGCCAGTTTTACAGTGCAAGCAGCAATTATCATATCAACATAGACCAGATATGCACGGACAGTCTACTTGGATAGGCACGAACAGTTATCCGTTATCCGAGTGTGTCAGAATAGAATGTCCGTGCATTTTTGATATGGACCAATAACGTACCACGGGTGATGTAAAGGTAGAAGAAATCGGCGTAAAGGACGGTCTGGACGATTCCGGCGACAACGGCGATTGGGTCAAAGAAGCTCTCGGTGTAATATCTGAAATAGAAAAAGAAGTTATTTTTGGAAGTAAATTTCATATTTTTCAAGACATCAGAAAGTACAGAAATCTTCAAAAACTCAAATAAGTCCAATGTGACTGCTGTAGCGCTCATTCCATAAATCACCAGGTTTTCATTTTTTTTCCAGTTTGCCCATTAGACGGTTTTTTATGGTTCCCAGTCACCACCGGAAGCTCTTCCATTACAGGTGCCCTTCAATTAGAGAGACCGTCCTCTTTTTTTGCCGTTTTTCAGAAATCCGGTGAATTTTTGTTCAAAATTAAAAAATCTCTCTTTTTCACCAAAATTTAGCAAGTTTTGAGCAGACAAATGTTTCAACTAATTTTTATGATATTGTGGAATTTCCAAAATATTTTTTCACTTTGAACGGTTGGGAATTTTGATTTTCAAACGACACATTTGGAAGGTAGTCCTTCCGTTTTTTCTAGTCTGCCTCGGAGGGCCCTTTCATTACTGGATCCCATCCATTGAAAAAGCCCTTCTAATACAGGCTTTGTCCTATTTCACTTTTTGATTTTTTTCCAACTCAACTAATAGCAACTTGAATATTTTTCCTGGCGAATAGGCTTCAAAGCAAACCTTCCTAGATGAATCTATGCAAAACCTGGTGTTTGTCCTCTATAAAACCGTTTTCACTTATATGATCAAGCTGGGCGCGGATCACGCTACAAACATCTTCCGATCAAAATTCTATATGCAGCCGGTTTTCTCTGATCCTCTCTTCGACCAGGAGAAAGATCTGGATAAGTTTACACAACTGAGCCGATGACGTGGAAGCCTAAGTTTTTGCCCAAAACACACCTGTAGACCCAGTTGAAGATGTAGAGGAATCTGTAGGATCCGAGGGCAAAGAGGTAGTGAGCAGTGATGGTTTCGGCGTTTCCGGTACGGGAGAGCATAAAGAGTTGTGGCATGATGGCGACGGCTTCCAGGTAGATCGAGAAGGTCCACATAACCTGGAAAATTGATTTGTCAGTTTTCTGAAGTTTCAACTAAGCTGCGACTGTCGAATTTTGCGCGCTGGTTGGTCAGCTGGCAAACCATTGCCTTGGGTCCCCGCAGATTACCACCATTTTTGCCCAAAATGAATATGAAGCTCTCTCAACAGGCTGAAGCGCTCCAACATTGCCTAAATAGCGCTAAGCCCATACTTTCGCCCAAAAGACGCGAGTCGCAATCGAGAATATACTCACCTCCATGAACATAAACTCGTGGTTGATGATAAGAGCTAAAATGATGCTTGGGATGACCAAGAACTCAATGCGGAAGGTGTCATTGTTACGATCGTAGGTTGCCTTGAACTTCACCCACATGAGGTAGACGGTTCCAATGGATCCAGCAAGGAAGAGAACCTGGAGTTGTTTGTTTAGGTATTGATTTTTGAAAAAAAAACATACCTTCATTACGGTGTTGTAGAGGGAGTAGAAGCTAGTGAAGAGATCCAAGTATCTGGTGAAGAAGGTAACGGCGAAGAGGATCTGGGACCGGCCAGAGATTCCTGAAAAATAGATGAAAATTTGTTAATTTTTGTCGAAATTCGATAAATACTTACCTTCGCAACTGCGCGACTTCCATATCTTGAGCAGGAGAATGACGATAGCCACGGCGTGAGCCAAATCGGCCGTAATACGGAATATATTCATGGTCTCTACAAAAGAAACTGCAAAACACTAAATTGAGAAGCCGCCCTGTCTCTCTCTCTCTCCAAGAAACTATTCGGTCCAAAAGTAGGGCAAGCGGTGCGCAGAGGACGAGACGTAGAGAGGGAAGAGGTCAGAGACAGAGAGACAAAAATGCGAGCTGTTCATCCACGTCACACAGTGTTGAGGCCGATGGTCTCGAAGCGACGGTGTCTGCGTCTCTGGTGGGGGCAACGCTACGCGGCACTCTCGCAGACTCCAACACATGTGCCAGGCCAGTTCGTTTGCGATGAGAGAGGGAGGAAGAGAAGACCGTGGCCTCTCTTTTTCTTCTCGCTGTACGCTTACCTCGGACAAACGGCCTCGTATCTGTTAGAAGAGGATCTCGGAGAACGACTGAGAGAAAAGAGAATAGTAATGGGCCAATATTCCGGAGTACACAAATGAGATGGGGTGATGTCGGCTAACGGGTGACGAGAGGACTTGGGTTTGGGTCTATGGATTACTGTGGAATTAAAAATACTTTCAGAACCGCGAGGTTTTAGAAAAAAAAACATATCTAGGAAGATATATTAAAAGTTGTGAAAAAAACATGAACCTTAACGGTAAAATTGAGAGCATTTCGGAGGAGAAAACCATGAATAGAACATGTTCTTTCAGTTCTCAAAGATCAGTGTTGTTGTATTTTGGAATTTGTGTTTGAATAGTCAAAGAATAACAACCGGAATTGACGTTTTTCCGAGTCTGATCGATTACTGCAAAAAAAACAACAAATAATGCAAACTGTGGGGCAATATACCGTATCTCCTATAGTTTAAGCCACCTCCAAACTTTGAGCTCTTTTATCTCGGTTTCTGTGGAAGGTATCGAAAAGTTGTCAACTGATGAATTATTCATCATATTACCATCTAATTTTTATCTGTTGGCAATTTCGATGATATCTCTCTTACATTTAGTAACCAAGATAATTGAGCTATAAGGGCACGTATAAAGTGAGCTTCTACCAGAGCAAATGCGTTATAAAACAAAAGTTGTGTTGCAATCTGAAAAACAACGACTGAAATTGAACTCTCAAAAAAATAATTTTGAAAATTCAATTTAAAATTAAAACAGAAGAGAGATAATTCGCATTTTCAAAAGAATACATTAAGAAAATTCAAATTTTCAATTGTTCTTCTTCAAAATTATAGAAACTCCCAGTTTCAGTAACCATGTATACCGTAACTCTCTATCAAAGGCCACAAAAACCGTCAACTTTGAGCTCAATTATAATGACTCCTAAGAGAAATATCAAAAATGTGTTACTTGATAAAATGTTTGTGATATTATGATGAAAAATTCATCTTCTGAAAATGTTTTTATATCTTTTACATGATTCAAGATAATTGAGCTCAAACTTGTCAGTTCGGGTAAGCTTCTATTAGAGAAAAACACGGTGAATTATATTAATTCTTGTGAATGATATTAAAACATTGCAAACGAGGACATTTTTGTTATAACTTCACATTAGTTTAATACTTGTATATTTGTTGTGTTTTTTCCCCCAAATAACCGAGGTATCGTGAATACCGTAAACACTCTAGCAGAAATCGAAACCGTCAACTTCATCCCAATTTATCTCATATCCTGTGAACGTTATCAAAAAACAGTCAACTGAAAAGACGTTGGTAATATTATGACAAACATTTCATCAGTTGAAAAATTTTGATGTCTTACAAAGGAACCGAGATAATTGAGCTAGAAGTGCAAGAATTGGGTGATGTTCTATTTGTCTACCTATACGTACGCTTCAAACTCATTTATCTCTATTTTCGTGAAAGATATAAAAAACTTGTCAACTGATGAAATGTTCATGGTATTATGACAAAGATTTTATTAGTGGGCGAACTTTTGATATTTTCAATGCAAACCGATATAATTGGGCTTAAAATGCAAGTACGGTGGCGTTTCTATTCAAGTTTTTATCGTAATCAAACCTGTATTGTATGTTAGTGGAATACAATCAGTGAAAAATAATGCTATAATCATACATTTTTGTTCGGTGCCTTTTTCAGCCTACATTAATTCAGAACTTATAGTTTGTATGTTAAAGACTTTTATCACAACTACAAAGAAATCTGATGCACTGTTTTCATCTCTCATCCTCATGAATTTCATAGTTTCTACAGATGATTTCATAATTACTCATTGTCCGGCATTAACAGAGACCTCGTTTTCTAGCTCCTTGATGCCTCTCCAATATCCCTGACCTTCATAAAAGCAGCAACTGTGTTCAGTGGAAAACAACAAAACAAGATGACTCAGGTGTCCACATGAAATGTTATCTCACAAACATGATACCTCGAGTTCAAAGTTTCAAAGCTCTTTATCACTTTTTCAAGAGTAATTATCGCTTTAAAAAACTCGTGGACTTCCAAAACTCCGCCAGTTTTTATTCTGGAAAATTAATAACACTACATCACCCATTCGCACTTTTACAGTTTTTTCTCCAACTTTTGTTCTTTTCTCAACTCGCAAGAAGGTTGTGTAACAGAGCAAGTTATCATAGAGCCCGGCGCCAGCCCATTCTGTGAACAATTGATTGAAAAAAGAGGTTTAGTGGTGGCTCTGATGTGAAGCCAACCTTCCATCTCTCTAACAGTGTTGGTCCATTGCGTTGTAACGAATAGGTGGCATGGCGTGTCAGGGGGCTCCTGGGGTCCTCTCGTAGAGGCTGGCGACTGGCTCGTGATGAGATCCAGTTAACAGTCTCCGCCTCGGCTCAGTTGTTATATAAACCTTCGGGAGATTTCCTCTGGGTCACTTTTCCTTTTGATTTTTCAATAGGTTTCCTTAATTTTCATTTCCCAATTTTCAGATTCACCATGAATTTAAAATTTTTACTCGTTCTCTTCCTCGCAACGGCACTTCTTGTGTCGATGAGTGAAGCTGGAAAAGATCGCAGGAAGAAGCAAAAACAGAAGGAGCGACAAGAGGATAATGATGCCGACGAAGAAACTGCTGGAGGTAAGAGTGGATCGGAAATCGAATAAACTTTTGAATCTTGCAGGAAGAGGAATGGAAGAATCTGGAAAGGCCAAGGACGAGAAGGAGAGAACTTCTGTTCTGGAAAAACAAGCTGAGAAAAAAACTGATGATGATGAGTCATCATCAGAGGAAGATGAAGATGATGAAAAGAAGGACAATTCCACAGTAATCATTCGTGTAAGCAATGCATTGAAAATTTGCAAAATTATCAAAACTTTTCAGAAGAAACGTGATACTGGAGTAGCTCTCCCAACCGATGCCGCTGAAACCACTCGAATCATTCATCGTATGATTCGCGACCACAAGGAAAATACTTTTCGCGACGTCCAGAAGAGAATGATTCGCGACCTCGAAAGAAATTTGATGAAGCCTATTGGAGAGGTAATATAAATGAAAGGAATAGGTCAATGATTGTTTTCATTTTCAATTTTAAGCTCATAACGAAAAGATACAAGCGCCAAAACCCACCAACCCAAATGAAAAAGACACAGGAGATCAACGACGGAGTGCAACTGCCACTGGACAAGAAGCCGTCGGCCACTGCGTCCCCAACTATTTGAATGAATCGAGACATACACCTCAAGGATTTTGCTTTAATCCCTCTTTCTTGTCCCATCATTTTCTTTTTCTTCTTCTCGGCTCTTCATCTCATTTGTCTCATTACTAAATCATAATAATACGCATTCATGTAGAATAGTTGTTGACCAGCCGGACCGAATGAGAGAGAAAGAGATGCTTTCGCTTGTCTAATAAAATTGTTTCCTTTTGCCATTTCCGACTTTTGTAATTTATCAAGAAGAGAGAGAGAGAGAGAGAGAGAGAGAGAGAGAGAGAGAGAGAGAAAGAGAGAGAGAGAGAGAGAGCTTCATATGGAGAGCGCTATTTCTCTAAACATGATATGTTCATATTAACTCAAAGAATTCATAACAGTAAAAAAGGATGTTATATTGAAAGTTAGTCTGCAATTCACTGAACTCACTTTATTAGATCTATTCCGAAAGTCGTATGGGTTTTTTGTTTTAATTTCTAAAATTCAATTAATTTCTAAAATTCAAATGTCAAAAAATTGAAGAACACTCATTCGCTAAGGGTTTCCCAGAAATCTCCAACAATCTTCACCACTGGTTAAGCTATGAATCGATCAATCTCTGCTTTTAGTTTATCATGAAAAAGTCTCATTGACTTGATAATTACTCTCTTTTTCGCAAATTTGCCGGCGCGGCAAAAATAACTATAGAATACTTGAATGGAATATTGATTTATGATACTAATTTTTGTTTTTTTTTACCATTTTGTGAATTTTTATGTACTTTTAGTAAAGAGACATTTTGAATTTTCTCGTTTCTTTTTTTTAACTAACAAAATTAATTTTGATTTCTAAAATTTAGATAAACAGTTTTGAATTTGTGATTCAGCCCTGCCAGACCCACAAACTTTATGACAAACTAAATTAAGTCTGATGAAAGTTTCCTCTGGGAAACTAGAATGACGTACAATAAAAAAGAGGCATAACTAAAATTGTGTATTATGAAAATGATGATGTTGATACAACTTTTTTGAGCGTGTGCCACTCTATTAGAAGTTTTACAGCACCTTACTAGTCGCTTTAATCTTGTCTTTAGTAAGATGAAAGTGTGAAGAATTCTTAAATGATTGTTCGCTACCATCTCCACTTTTTTATTTCATTTCGATCATCTGTGGCTTACGGCCTCCTCCACAGTAAGAACACGGAAAAAAACCTTGCGTGCCAGGTCGTATTTGACAATCTCCTTTTTGTCGCAAAATCTAGCTTTCATCTCTGAGAGTTGTCCTTGGACCCCGTCACGCGAAATTTTGTAAGCAATCAAGCAAAGTAACGGATACTGAGATGCCCCGAAGATGTTTATTCACTGAGTGAGTGCTTTTTTCAATCAAAGACAGTCGTAAAATATGTACTTTTCACTTCTTTTCTTTACATGATGAAGCTAAATAAGGTCAGTTTTGATTTCGTATTTTTACCGGGTTGATTTCTGCGGTTTTTGTAAATTTTAAAAGAAACTTTTTTGTTATATTCAAAAGTAATACAGTTTCGCAAGATTTTCGAAGTTAAAAATTTGTGAAACACGCTTATTGTAAAGATTATAACAGAAAGCTCTCTTATTCTTGCACCTTGAGCTCCATTACATAAATTTCCATGAGAGATATGAAAAATCTGTTAACTAAAAATTGTTGGTGATGTTATGACAAACATTTTATCAGCTCACTCAGTTTTGATAACGTGCATAGGAATTGAGATATTAGAGCTCGAAGTTCAAGTACAGGGTGTTCCTCTATCAGATTGTTTACGGTATGTTTTACTTTGTCGACTAAGTAGAAATCATACTTGTGAAAAAGATGGCCGGCCCGCGGGCCGGAAAAAATTACAACTGGCAGGCCCGCTTTTTGAAAATTTGAAATTTTATAGCAAATCATTATTTTTCAAGCTTTTCTCCTTAAAGGTGGGTGGACATGAAAAAAAATAATGTTCTCGAAATTCCATTCAAAGATGCCCCTCGAGGAGTTGAACTTGTGAGGGCGATGATTGAGGGTGCGGCGCCGCTACCGACTGAGCCACGCGGGCAAAGATAAAGGCGAGGACGACAGCTGTACGCAGAGTGACATTAAGCGTTGTACACCGTGACGATAGAATGCATACTCTAGCTACAAAAAAACTACGAAAAATCTCCTGTCCCCCCAAAAATCTCCTGTACCTTTAATAAATAAAAATCCACACTAGAGGACGATTCTGTCGAAAAAAAAACTGTTTTAAAGTCGTTTTAAGAAAAAATTTCATCCTTGGCTTAATGAAGTTTGACTTTTTTGCTAAAAATGCGATTAAATTGACTTTTTCGGATGGTTGTATGCATTTGGATTAATATTTGTGCTATTAAAAATATATTGGCACATTTGAAAAGTAACATTTTCGAAAAGTTGTCCTAGGCGGGCCGAGCGGGCCGGGCCGGGCCGAGGGTTTTAAGGCAAGCGGGCCGGCCCGGCCATCCACATGTATGGTAGAAATATGGAATTTTTATGACCATAGCAGCCACTAAAAAATAATAAGGTCACTTATAGTTTAGGATTCATTCCCAAATCTCGTTTTTTAAAAAAATCAATTTTTGATTAATAATACAATTTTGTTGTTTTTTTATTGTTATTCAAAAATAAGAATCATTTGCTTCCATGACTCACTCGTATTGTCAAACAGATAAATGATTTCGAAATGATTCTTTTTTGCATTAATTCTAAATTTGCATTTGTTGATGTTCTAGCCATTTTGAGTGAAATTGTTTTCGGAAACGTGAAAAGTACTATCTTGTCTCATTAACTTAAATTAATCCTACTCATATGAATCATATACTTCGTCTACTAAATATTAATCACATAATTTGTCTACTCATGAAATCAAACTTTTAAATATTTCGATATAAATCTGAATATCAGCTTTTTTTTCTCAACGTATCATAAACACTCTAATAGTATGCAACCCCTCCCCTGACTGTAAACCCAATTTAACTCGGTTTATGTGAAACATATTAAAGAAAGATCTCTTGACAAAATGCTTTCGGTATTGTGGTGAATATTTGGTCAGTTGACCACATTTTAATATTTTCCGATGAAAATAATATTCAAAAGCTCAAATTGACGATTAAGGGTCATTCTTTCGAAATGATTACGGTATGCATTTTTGAAGACTTTTTGTTTTTTGTTATCATCTTGTTTTTGATAACATATACATTTGATTTTTGATTGTTTTGGCAAAAACATTTTTCAAAGTGTATGTTCCTTTTTTCCAAGAAACCCTTCAATCATCTTCTTCAAAGAATTAAATTCAAAGAAGCCGTCTCTTCTAATTTTTGAAATTGAACACGCTTACCAAAACCACTTGAATAGGAATCGAGTTATAACGTGACGGTCCCTCTACCTCTTTCGAGTGTTACTTTCTCCCCGCACACATTTTTATTATATATTTCTCAAAAAAAAGCATCATCCGCTTCTACATCTCTAACATTATGTATTCTGATTATAAAACTTTATTGTTGCTGGAGAAGATGATGGTTTCCGACAACACACACTCGATGAAGGCAGCAGCAGCAACAGCACATATCAATATCATTCCAAATATATATTTCTTTTTATGTCATGCATTCAAAATTTTCAACATTTCCCTTTTCTCTTTTCTACTCCGGGGCGCCCGTCGACATCCAATTCTAACTCAAAGCGTCATCGTCAACGTTGCGGTCGGGTTGGTCCGTTTTTGCGCATATGGCTGTCATTTTGAGAAACACGAAGAACTCCCCCTATGTTTTCTCTCCTGACTAGTTGGGTTTCCAATTTGGTAGCTGGGATGTCTACACTTTCCAAGAAGCCACCGAATTATTGCCCTATTCCAAAGCGGAAATGGTTTCTCTTAAACATCTTCTTCTTCTACTACTTCTTCTTTTCGTTCTCTTCCTTTCTAACTTAATTATCTCATTTTTGTGGCGTTGTCAACCGAAATTAGTAGGAGTCGCACTCAGGATGACTATTGGAGGGTGCTTTTCTCCTTCGAGCAAGAAAGAAAACGTAGAAGTCGTTTTCAAAGTCATAAGTGTTACTCGTCTTCCGTTTCGCTTTTCCTTGTTCTCCACTTCTTTCCTTTTTTCTCTTTCTCAAGCATGGACTGAAGTCATAAAATTAAAAAAGAGAGCCTGCTATATCGAAGCCTTCACTCAATTCTTTTTTGTTCACTTGAACAATTGGGTGGAAAGATGTATATTCACTTTTTCTTTTATATCCGCTTGACAAGTGTTAGATCGAACATTCGAATTTGACTTGATTTCATTTTATCGAGATTGGATTATCTATGTGACCGTTCTAAGAACTTTTAACGACTCTAAATTCCTTGTTTTTTTATAAATAGAAAAATAATTGTAATTTTTTCAAAATTAATTGCATTCATTTTTGGCAAATATTCGTGAATCGACAAAGTTTCTGAAAAACTTGAGAGAGTTAAATACTCTTTGAACTGTAAGTGGAATACATTTTAATGAATTTGCTCACTGTAATCTCAATTATCTCGTTTTCTTTAAGAGATATCCGAAATTCGCAACTGATAAAATGTGTATCATAATATTATCAACATTTTATCAGCTAGCTGATTTTTGTTATCTTCTACAGAAATTGGGATAATTAAGCTCAATACGGTGGCGGTCTACATTGATAATACTTTTTTGTGGTAGACTACAAATCTTTTTCACTCAGAAAAATTTTGATGCTGTTATGCTGACACTAAAATCCAGAGCTGTGGCCGAAGTTTCCACAACGACCATTACAGTAACTGATAAACATTTTAATTTTCAGGATTTTTTCTCGATTTTTTTTGTATTTTCAGTCAACTGTTAAAAACTTTCTGGAGGAAATTAAAGAAGGCCAGACACCAAAAAAAAAAGTTTTGCTGATATTTTGCATAGAGAACCCCCATGAGGGGTTGAACTCATGACAGGCAGCTCAGGGGTACAGCGCCGCTACCGGCTGAGCTACGGGGGCGCGAAGGCGCCTGACG